AATCTGAGCACTAAGCACGCAACAACACAACATCAATGACCGGACTGGGGATACTAACACAGACGTGGACTAAATACAATGAACTAATGACAACAATCAGAAATAGCTGTAAAACACTGGGATTCCACATGAGGTTAACGAGGGGGTGTGGCACACGTTAGGATCGGACGGAGCGGGGCGTGACACATGCTGTCAAGTAAAGTTTTACATTGCATTGTGAAAATCATAATTACATGAAATAAGTCTTTTTTTCTTGCTGTTAGGCCTGTGCATGGCAGACAGCACTTGGTAACTTGCAAGTGACCAAAATGAAGAAATACAAATCCTATCTACAGGCATCTGAAAACAACATTCCAAGAACCACAGATTACAGGCGATTGAGACTTGCTAGAGATAAAGAGGTAACACTGAATTTCCTCATTTTTTGTTAAGTTCTCATTGGTGACACTCTCCACAGTTTGTCAATTTGCCAGAAATCCTATCAGTTTCCTTCTGATGCTGTTATTCTTGTCATCCTGCAACATCTGAGACACCTACTGTATGTAATGTCCTTATCTCAATCTCTTTGCAGAACTATGGCTGAGTAGTTTATAAAGACTTTGCTTCTACCAGCGAGTCAGATATCCCAAGAACAAGTGCATACCGGAAAAGGAAAATACAGGTAAAATAAATATTCTGTGTTACATGGTTATATGCTGTATAGGTTGTAAAGTGGTCGTTGTACCTTTACATAATTTCATATTCTGCTAAGTTCCCTGTTCACTCCAATGATGATGAGGACACCAGTGTACAAAATTTCCAATGCCCAGGACCTGCTAAAAGACCCAGAATTAAAGGACAAATGCAAGCAGTGTCTGTCTGGGTATGCAATTTATTATTTATATCAGTTTATATCTGCCATTTGTCACAACACTAAATAATTACTCAAAATAAATATTTAGTCTGTTGCAGAGGAACCAAACAGTGATTTCAGGGCACTGCCTCACCTGACAGAGTCACTTGTAACTGCTGAGGAAGGTTACAGTGAAGCAATGAGGAACCAGTTACTGTACAGGTCATTTGAAATTGTTTGGAACACTTATTCTTGAAAGTTGTTGTTTGAAACACTCATAAGAATTTATTACACAGATATACGATATAGTCCATAGATTTACAAAAACCAAAAGGACACCAGAGGACACCAGGAGCATACTGCTAATTTGCAACCAGCACCTGATGTACCTCAACCACCTCAAAGTCCAAACTGTAATGCATTACAGGTACTTTCATGAAACATACACAATGTGGCATTGTAAAGGATATGTACACTATATCTACAGTCATGTTCACGGATATCTAACTTAATGTAAAAGCACTGTAATTATAATGATTTTGACTCAGGATGTATAAACTGAACACAGCATACTTTGAACAATTTAGTTACACTTTAGTTACAAATTTAGTATAGATGGATATTAAATGCTGACTCTAATTACTGATTTGTTCTTTTCTATGACTCCGAAGGGGATGAGCTCCTCTATCCAAGGGCACCTCTCTCCAAAGGACAGAGTCTGCTTCTTTTGATGGTGCACATTTTGAGACACAACCTGACAGGGATAGCTCTTGAACATCTTCTCAAAATGTTCAATGAACATTTCCCAGGATCAATGCCTGCAACTTCTTACCTGTTCCATAAGGCCTATGGACAGTATGGACAGTATGAAGCACATTTTTACTGTTCTGGATGCACAAGCTACATAGGTAATGGTACTGGTCAGACACAATGTACAATATGTCACATGTCATTTGATGCAGTCACTAATTTGAGAAATGGGTCATATTTTCTTGTTTTGAATTTATCCTCCCAAATTAAGGACATTCTTGAAAATCCCCAGACAGCTTTAGCAAGGAATGTATCACCCAGTGGTGTTTTTAATGATATACATTCAGGAATACAGTATGAGAAGCTAATCAGGAGTGGTGAAACTGGTAAAGATGACATAAGTCTATTGTGGAACCTGTGATGGTATCCCTGTTTTCAAGTGTTCCAAGTGTCAGCTATGGCCCATTCAGTGTCAGATTATTGAACTGAATCCAAAAGATCGGAAAAGTAATGTTTGCATACCATGTATTTGGTGTGGTGAGGTGAAGCCCAACATGACAACTCTGTTAACTCCATTTGTTGCTCAGCTACAATAATTGGAGGAAAATGGAATAAAATGGATAGACACACAGAACCAACAGCATTCATCTAAAGTGCATGCCCTGATCTGTAGTTCAGATTCAGTGGCTTGTGCTCAAATTCGTAACACAAAACAGTTCAACGGAGAATATGGCTGTGACTTTTGCTACCATAAAGGTGGTCCATACTCACATATAAGTCCTGAACCTCCTCTCAGATCAGAATCTGAACATTTTGACCATGCAATGGCTGCAACTCCTCAGCAACCTGTAATGGGAGTGAAAGGTCCCTCTCCTCTAATGAAGCTTTCAAAGTTTCAGATGGTACAGTAAATGGATTTGTGCCAGAATACCAGCACAGCATTTGCCTTGGAGTAACACGGCAGCTAACAACATTATGGCTAGATTCGAGAAATAATGCAAAGCCGTGGTACATCGGCACTAAATCTGAAATGATTGATAAGCAGCTGCTAGCCATCAAGCCTCCAGTAGAGTTAACTAGAGTCCCACGTTCAGTAAAGGAACTGAAATATTGGAAAGCCTCAGAATGGAGATCTTTTCTTTTGTTCTATGCTTTACCTGTGCTTTCTGGTATTCTTTCAAAGAAGTATTTGAACCATCTTTTCCCCCTTGTTTTTGGTGTTTATACTCTGCTTCAGGAAAACATCCAAATAGTTGATATTGATAATGCAGAGAAGGCATTGAACAAAATTTGTTATGGAGTTTGAGAAGTTGTACGGATGAGAAAACATGACTTTCAATGTGCACTTGATGACGCACATTTCAGCAAGTGTCAGAAAATGGGGTCCCCTGTGGGCCACATCCACATTTTCATTTGAAAGTTTTAATGGCACGCTACTGAAATTCTTTAATGGAACCACATATGTCTAAGATCAGATTGTCAAGAGATTCCTGAAATGGAGAGACCTTTCAAACAAAGCAAACAACAATGCCAGACACTGTGAAGGAACTATTCTGATATGCAAAACAACAAGCAAAAGACAGCTAAATCATCACACCTATCAGATAATGTTAGGGTATTTGGTAATTCTAATCCAGTGAATGTTCCAGTATGTCACATGCTTGCTATTGAGGAACTTTTTGGTGTCAGGGTAGAGCAGTACCTATATTATGATCGTTTGATCGTCAAATGAAGTGACAGAGTCCAACACTATTTATGCAGTGCATCCACAGGCTTTGAAAAGGAAATGCGTCATGATTAATGTCAAACAGAAGATGTATGTAATTGCCCTGCCAAATAATATTGAAAAGGACTGATGTACATAATTGCAACTGCATTGATAAAATGCAAGCAAGTAGAAGGATTATTGAAAATGTTTGTAACCTCGTGTAACCTTATATTATATGTGTAGTACCATTTTTTATCATCAGCTTTATAACTGAATGTATGTTGCAATTACAGTATGTGTCTTTTTGCTTTGTATCCTTTTGAAATTCTTTTCAAAGTATACCATTGTAACTGCACTGTAGTATGTTGAGAATAAATACACTCTAGCCAGAAATGTGGTGTTTTTCTATGGAAAGCATATAGGAAAATATTAAAATTATGCTTTGACTGCTTTGACTTTTTTACAATAGGTAGTATACGGAAGAAGTGCTGAATAAATATGTTACCTTAAGTAAATATACGGAAATGATGATAAAAGTATGCCTAAAAAGTTAGCCTATAACATATTTATTGCAGGACACTGAAAAGTATACTTTTGTAAAATGAAATGAAGTACAACTTCAAATAAGTGTTGAATAAATGGGTTTCAATAAATATGCTGAAATGTAACGGAAAGTATGCTTACATTTTAGCATATTTTTAAAAGACAGAACAAAATATATTTTAATTACACTGTACTGACAGTGTACTTTCTAATACCATACTTAAGTACAGTAAAGGTATGTACTGAAAAAATACAAATGTATTGCAAATGTATTATTTGGATTTCTAACACCTTTTTAGTGCATTTAAGAACACTTCTTTTCGACATGGGAATTATTGGGATTTTTATGAGAATCAAACTTTATGTATGCTTTATGTGCTGCCCAATGTGCTAGCATGCCTTTCTGTCTTCGGCAGCAGCCAATATATTGCTCTTCACCGTTATTGTACTCTTCATGTTTTACCACAATATGTTATATATAATGACATCAAGATACCAATATTTAATAATGCGATTATTCGATTTATAATGATATTAAAATATATTGCCACCTAGAGGTGTAATTGCAATATTTTTGAGTAAACCGGATATTTTTCTGTACTTTTTTAACGATTTTTGGAAATTTTACTTGTAGTCTAATTAAATGCACACTCACATTTTAAAAATAAAAAGGACAAGTTTGAGAGTGTCGTAGGATTGGGGAAGATGGAACTTGGAAGTATGAATCTTTGTCTGGTGTAGCCAGAGGGCGAGAGTTTGAGGCGTTGCCCTCTGATGGACGGAATGCAATACTACAAAGCTTAATTCGTAATACTTTATGAATATGGGGCTGCTTCACAGTCACAATATAATCAGCAATGCAATCATTTGTAAACTGTCCTTTTATTTTGTGTAAAAAGTTATTTAACTCTCGTTGACCATTTTCCTTTAAAAAAGATTCAGGCATATCTGAACACTGTTGCTGGACTTTGTGTAAATTGATAAACCTGTTGTCCCTTCCTTTCTCCTTCATATAATATTTCATAGTTGTTTCATTTCGTCCAATTACTGGAAAACTTTTTAAACTTACGAATCCCTATCAGCCGTGCCGTAGGATAAGTAATGTGATCTGTCCCTAACTCCATTCTCTATTTTTGTGTTTCCTTGTGCTGCCAAGCCCCTGACGTAATGCTTCGTGTTAATTATTAGCATGTGGAAAGATATGCCGAGACTCTCCCGCAGTTATGTTTGTACCAGAAGGGAGAAAAGTTACACAAGATGGCAAAACACACAGATCCGGAATGAAGGGGCACCGATCCCCACTGATTTAAAATCCGCTTTTTCCCATTTCCGCGATCAGCAGCGCAGATGCAGCTGTGCCAACGGAAAAGTAAGTAGTATTAGACCAATTTTAAAGCTTCAATACTAAGTAGCTAGCTATACTTTGCTGTTGTGTCACTTGTTGCCTTATCCAAGTTAATGGAGATCTGGAGCAGATTTGATACATTATTTATGATATTTCGCTTCGGAGTTATATTATGTGATTTCAGGTTTGGTGAAAATTAAAGGCATATATGAAAAGCTAGGGGCTAATAGGATTACTATTACAGAGGTCAGGCTTTGGCGGTGAGCGTAGTGGGGGGATAACGCGGTTTAGCACATTGTATACACGGAGTGTGAATGTATACTTTCACCGAGTGTATTACCAAACCAACTTTAAGTCTATTCAAGGCTTAGCTACCTAACGTACCAACTGCCTAACTTTTCCTAAACTGTATACTAGTGGAATTCGAAAGCACACACACACACACACACACATATATATATATATATATATATATATATATATATATATATATATAAAGATGGAACTTGGAAGTACATATATATATATATATATATATAAAAAACACATGCACACAAAAGATAGTAAAAAGGTGTAGGACAGTGCGAACAAACAATAATACGTACTGTACAACAGGGCATGTATCGTTGCAACTCTTCCGTCCACAACTAATGCTGGATTTACTCCGACAAACGTATTTTTAGGACTGGGTGGATATAATTTATTTTTGCTTCAGTGGCTTACCCTATAGGCCCGCATTCATAGCGGTTTGGCTGACGAAAAGCAAGGTTTTAAATGAAATTCTGGCAAAGGTTGGGCTTTCTGTTTAAAAAAATTCTCTGTATTTATAAACAAACGTTGTCAAATTAAAGTCGTTTTTACACTTTCATGGTTATTATACTCCTGCTGTTTTCCCCGGTCAGGAGGTAATGCAGTCCAGTATATGTACTTTTGCGTGTGTTTCGCCAGTAGCTAATGCTGGTGACATTTGTTTTGTATTTAGTATATGAGAGAACCGATTTACAAAGACAAGATCACCATGCAGTGTAACAAACCGTCGTAGCAACCATGGACACGTCGGACTAATAAAGAAGCGAGTGCGGGCTAAGAAGCCACATTGGGTCAGCAAAGAGTATAGCAGTCATACAGCCAGTGGTTGGCTATACCCTGAAAGATTATAATGCCTTAATGGTGGTTTCCTGCATAATCTTTTATATGACTTTGATACAACGAGTGGAGTAATTCGTTTTCTACCAGCTATAATAGTACTAACAATATTATAGCCATGTCTTAGAGGACAGTGCCATGCTATGTGAAAAATGCATCTCAACTAAAGATGGCTTTTGGAAAATTTCTTTTTAATATTAAAAAACTAAATAAAGATATTGACACTTATAAAAACCAATTTAATGCATTCTCTAGGTGAACACTAAATTCATTATGACCATGTTTTGAACAGAAATGTATGAGGAAAAAACAAATATATTCGTTCATAAATAAAATCACTGCTCACCAGTCAATACTGAATGATGCTTTCCTGTACAATTTAAAAGGTTTTAACAATAAGTTCACACCTTTTTTCAACCTGGTACTGTAACATTGTGCAATGTCTTTGCATAGGCCTAAGCAAAATGAAAATAGCAATGTACTGCTAGGTGAAAGAAAAAATCCATACTCATGTTGTATTGAATTGCAGTAAATAAGACCCATGAAATAGTGCTGGGCAATATCATGTCGATATTTTATCTCACATATGCAATAATCCCCAGGGCTTCAGATGCCGGGAAACATTTAGCCAGATGCCAGCTTTTCAGTACTATACGGACATTTATTTACCCCTAAAATATTAATCAGATGTGCTTTGTGACACCCATAAGTTAGTAATCTGTATAAACTGGGCATATCTTTATGTTCATTAAATTGTTAGTGGATCACACTACATACTACTGTTTCGGTATACTATGGTTTCGTATACTTCAGTGTGATATGCCCTAAAGGGGTTGTGAAGAAATGAAAAGCAGCCAGGACAAGGTAAAAAGACAGAAGTGGTGTGGCGGTACTTTTTCTAGTTTAAAGTCAGACACGTTTATTAAACATAAGGATATGCTGAATTTATACTGATTCCTAACTTTTGGACGTCATAAAATGCCTCATTAATATTTTAGCTGTACTAATCTGCTTAACAAATTGTGTATATAAATAAACATCTGTATAGTACCGAAAGGCTGGCATCTGGCCAAATGTTTTGCTTTCATTTGAAGTCCTGGTCTTTATTACACATGTACGATATAATATCGATGTGATATTGCTCAGTCCTACCGTGAAAGATCTGTCTATTAGGGGATGACAAATGAATGGCCACATCCCAGAAAAATAAGCATGGTTAAGAATGGCCAGTACTTTAAGTAACAGTTAAAAACAGTTAGCTACCTACAAACGTCCTAGGTAGAGCAGGGTTGAAAAGGTTTTTGAAATTACAATAGGTGCTTTCTCACTGCGCAACAGAAACTGTGACCTTTATTTTAAGTAAGCATAGGAGACGTAAATAGCTCACAGGATAAACTTCACACATAGTTTCATATGAAACTACACCACCACCCCAAAACAATTAAGGATAAACAAGTTGTTTTGTTGGTTGTTTGTTAGCTATTGGGAGGATAGTTATGTCCTGTATTGGTTCAAAGTCAGGCACAACATTTTATTTGTACAGCTTGCATCATGTTTATAATTCATTATTATATCTGGCCAGAGGATCAATATTTTGTTTTCCACAGAATAAAAACTATGTGACATTATTCCACTAGTAAGTGCTGGCAAGTTTCACTGCTGGCATCGGTGATAATAGACAAAAATACACTCACCTAAAGGATTATTAGGAACACCTGTTCAATTTCTCATTAATGCAATTATCTAATTAACCAATCACATGGCAGTTGCTTCAATGCATTTAGGGGTGTGGTCCTGGTCAAGACAAT